GTGGAATATCAATATGTAAACTATTTTTTAAATGATATACTATGGCTGAGCAGAAAGGAATATCCACTTCTCTTCTATCCTCCTCGAACCCCATCTCCTGAAATAGTTTTTAAACCACACAAAATGTGTGGTTGGACATATTGTCCAAATATGTATGTTTAGAAAAAAAATTTAAAAATTTAAAGACTCATTTTTTGAGTAATTATACGTAGTCCTAAAAATTATATCTCAGAACATCTAAATTTATAAGTATAAAATAATTAAAGCATGCAAGTCAGGCCAACAGATGACATGACAGTTGAGGCAGATCTCCACATAGTCAACTGTGCAGTTCGAGTTGCAGATCCTGTGGCTTAAAAATCATTTCTGTCTCTCTGTTTCTCTCTGTCTTTCTGGCGAGCGCATGCACCCTATAGCGAAAAACCTCTCAAAAAAAAAAATGATCATTCCAAGCACTTGTGAGTGCATGCCTAAAATTCTAAGAGGACAATGGAGAAAGGACTACAGCATGGTATTCCCCAGCGGGGGGATGGGGGAGGGTGGGGGAGGTCTTACTCCCCTACCTCTGTCTCAGTGAGTTCATGTACTCTGGCAAAACATTTTTTAAAAGTATATGTCAATATTTCTTCTAAATATAAAAATTAAACTAAATTTTACTAGACTGGTAAGGTATAATGCTCACAGAATATCTAACCAGTATGCCTAATAGCTCAGTATTATTAATAAATTCAAAATTTTACCAATTAATAAAATGCGTTAAACATGGTTGCAAAGAGAAGCAATTACAAAGTCAGGGCTATTACAAAAAGTCTACTTACTAAAAAGAACACTGGAACTGTAGGATCAGTCTGCTCAGCATATACATTAAGCTTACTGTATCAACTCACTTGTAACAAGTTACCATCTCAAGACTCAGACAAGAGCAAGTAATAGCTCTGTACAGATAATAAAATTAGTTATATCAGTATAAGTAATATAATTTGTTATAATTAACCAGGCCAATTGAGTTAGCCAAGATATATTCCTCCATAAACTGGAATCTGGAATAACTTTAAGAAACGCCCACTCTAAGAATTATCACAGGTTACAGACCGAATGTTTGTGTCTTTCTAAAATGCCTGTGTTGAAGCCTAACTCCCCCAATGTGATGGCATTAGGAAGTGGGCTTTGGGGAAATAGATTTACATGAAGGTAGGAAGTAGTGTCTTCATGAAGTGATTAGTGCCCTTATAAGAAACAATAAGAAAACTTTCTCTCCACCACATGAAAATACAGAAAACAATTTTCTTTTTTTTTTTTTTAAGATTTTTTTTGCCCTAGGGTACACGTGCTTGATCGAGAGACAGAAGACAGAGACAGAGAGAGGGAAAGTGAGAAATCACTCTCCACGGATGACAGTCATGCCGCAATGACTTCTCCTCCATTTTCTCAAATTTTGGGGTATGCATGCACACATGTCCACTGTGATTTTTAAGCTGTCATGTCCAGGACTTGAACCACAATCAATCATGTGGGAGACCAGCTCCTTAGCCATTACGCCACCAGCTGGTCCCTCCAAAAGGCAATTTTCTGCAATCCAAGAAAAGAGCCCTCACCAAAACCTGTCCTTGCTGCCATCCTGATTGTAGACTTCTGGTAAATGTTTCAGATTGTCTAGGAATAAAAACATAATTTTATTGGTTCTTACAAAAAGTCAGATCTGCTATTTTTGTGATTTGGGAAGAATTTAATCAAGGATACTACCTGTCACTTGTTGTACCACCAACGTAAATAAAAGAGAGACTATGTTCATTATTGTTAAATTTCTAAAGAACAATGTAAACTATCTTGTAAATTTCTTCAAGATAATCTATAATCCCTATGAACCTATATACAATTCTAAAATAACTCATTGGGTCCTAATATGTAACATGACTAACACAGAAAAATTATAAATACAGTTATAAACTTGAGTTATAAAAGATTTTTCTAACTCAAACAAAATTATCAAATATTTAAGTAATGCCATGAAGTTCAAGTGCTTTTTCTAATAATCAATACTGCCACCCAATGGCAAATAGTAAAATCTAAAACCAAATAATTGACATAAATAAAAGACCAACAATCCAAGAACCAAAATGTGAATAAAATAACATTTAAAATGTTCAGATTTGGGTCCAGCAAGTGGCATGTGGCTAAGGGTGTTGGACTTCCACATGGCCAACCACAGTTCAAGTCCCAGACCAACTGACTTGAAACTCATACTGGGCATATGTATACATGCCCAAAATCCCAAGAGGAGAATGAAGGCAAAGGAACTGCAGCATGGCCATCACCCATGGTTATTTCTCACTCTATCTCTCTCTCTGTCTCTCTCTGTTTCCAGCAAAAACCCAAGTCCTATAGCAAAAATCTCTCTAAAACAACAATAAATAAATAAATAAATAAATAACATCACTTTCTCTATATTGGTCATAATCCCACCTACTTCTGTCTAGAAAACAACATACTGTCTGATTCACAAAGCCCTCTACTCTTAAAACATTCATGTCAATTCAGAGATCAATTTCTCAATTATTAAGAATAATGGCATAGGGACCAGTAGTTAGCTTAATGGCTATGTCACTGGACTCCCATATAGTCGACCGCGGTTCACTTCCCGGACCTGGTAGCTTAAACTTACGCCGGGCGCGTGTGCACGCGTGCCCAAGATCCCAAGAGGAGAATGGAGGAGAAGGGATTGCAGCGTGGCCATCCCCCCTAGGGGGTGATTTCTCTCTTTCTGTCTCTCTGTCTCTGTCTATCTAGTGAGCACACTCACCCTATAGCAAAAACCTCCAAAAAAAACCCCAGAAGAATGGCATAGAAATTTGTCTGATTTGTTTAATAATTAACAATGCATTTTCACATTATTTTATATACATATCATACATAAATATATATGTGTATATATCCATTTTCACAATATTATTTATACATATAAACATATACACACATGTATAAATATGTCTGGAGCACTACTGATAAGAATAACAGGATGAAAAACAAAGCCAGTAAATAAAAATTGATAAAATTAGTGAATATTTTGAACAGATCTATAAGACTCCCAGAAAATAAATCATTTCAAAAAAGGACTAAGCAAAGTAAATTTTAAAAAGGCAGAGATGTTCATAGGGAACATGTTATGAGGGAACTTCAAAAAGCTGATGAGAAATGGAATTAAAGTACAAGTCTACTTTACTGCAAAACAATTTTGAAATCCATGTATAGTTTTTTTCATAATGTGTATTTTCCATGAACTTTGAATCCCCCCACACATATACAAATGTATTCTTCTTTGCTTTCTATTGAAATGATAGGGAGACTATTAGTAGGTGAACATAAGTTTAAATAACACTGTGTATAAAGGATACTTCTATCTCTAAGGCCTTGATTTAAATGTAATATTTATGTACTGGTTTCTCCATAGAAAAGGATGTTATTTTAGTTTTAAGGCAAATTTCAAAATTTATATCTCAAAGCACTTTTCGAGGGGAGAAAAGTCACAAACGATTAAAGCAGCCACTTAAAATACACATCGCTATAATTAAAGATTATTTAGAAATTTGTATTTATCATAATCATAATAGGTAATCAAATTCAATTAGTTAGAAATCTCTGGGAGTTGCCCCCATGGCACAGTGATCATGAGCATAACAATGCCTCCCTGGAGGATGCTTTCTCCCTCTTTCTTTCTCTCTCTCTCTCTCTCTCTGGCAAATACACATGCCTTCTGATGATTAAAAAAATTCACTGATATTTAATGCAGTTGACACCACTAATATTTTTAATGAGATAACATGGGTAAAATTAATTTATACAAAACATAAAATAAGTATTCAGTATGTTCAGTAATATTTCTTTTTTAAGATTTATTTATTTAATTGTGTTTGTTATTATTATAACATTTTTTTAATTTGACCAGAGAGAGACAAAGAGAAAGAGAGAGTGAAAAAGCAAGCCACCAGGTCCAAGACTCGAACCACACTCAGCCATGTGGGAGTCCAGCATACCAACCACCATACCACCGGCCAGCCCCCTAGGTAACATTTCTTTAAAAACATCACTTCAAAAATGATGAATACAACTATTTAATACATGAAAAGCACATTTTTTTTTGGTTTTTACTCAGATGTGATAGGAACTATGTTACTATGGCTGTACTATGTTATAATAACTAATGATTGTGTACCTTTGGATTATATAATAATCAAATCACATTTTCTATCAACAGGATTAATATGGTGGCACAAAGTTCGCAATCTGAAAATATAAATAGCAAAAAGTAATCGCTGGGTAGGTGAGACCTATCTCTTGAGTGCACAATGGCAACATGCATGATTTTATACCCAGATACTTAAGTAATCCAAAACTCTTCGGCATAGTCTAAAATTAATCTTTGATGATAGATACTTTACAAAATTGTTTATAAATACTTTCCCAGGGATATTACCTTTGTAATACATAGCTAAAATACTCTTACTTTTTGAAATATTGTATGTTCTTTCAAAAAGAGCCACAAGAGGTCAGGCTTTCCTAAGAAATAAATTTAACATACCCGCAATACCTTGTGAGATGAGCATTTATTTTTGCAACATACTATTTACGTTCCCCATTATAAATCAAATTTAAATGCACAACTTGTTAAACTCAGAAAAAACAACAACAAATCTTTGGGGATTCGGCAAAAAATTAACCGAAGATCATAATGATCACATACCTACAATTAAAAATGTTTCATAGATAATTTCATTTAATCCTCAAAATAACTTGTAGGCAAAATCTTTACCAATTAATTTTTTTCAGATTATTAAGAAGTTGATTAAAACAGGTTTTTAAGAAACGACTGTTACGTGAACATTCTAAAAGTAAAGACAAGTGTATTTGAGTGTAGAAATTAAAACAAACGAGCATACAATATATATTATTCTATTAGACATATGAAGCAATGTTTCAAAAATCGTAATACCACAGGTGCTTACCTTGCCAACTATCATTGCAGACACACAGTTTTTCTCCTGTTAGGTCACAGTACCCGTGATCTGGACTGCCGCAATTGGCTTTACAGTAAGGAATGTCACAAGCTTCACCTTTCCAGTATTTATCACAATCACAATACACTTGACTTGGAACAGAGATACTAGTTGTACACTTCCCATGACCAGAGCAATTGTTAGGACAAGAATTGATTCTGTAAAATATAATTCGTATCTTTTCAACGTCAAGATAAGGGAAAAAGATCTTATTTTTTACTTTGCAAACTTTATAATTTTATGTTGTTTTATATGCTTATTTAATAATATGATACAATTTCACCATATGGTTTTAATTTTTTACTCTGCTTCCTTTCACTCTTAAGCAGTTCAGTTACTATTTATTTCCGATTGATTTTCATTCATTCAGTGAGTTTGCTTAGCTACCAAAACTCTGAATATCCAAGGACTGAGCCTTCAACATCTGTAGAATTGATGGCTCCAAGCACAACTTTTTATAAAGACTTTAGTCAATGTTTTATTTATACTCCAGAAAAAATGAAATATTCCAGAAAAGATTAAATTAATGAATACAAAAAGTCAAAATATAACTTGGTTATATAATATTTACAGAGCATACTATCTACATATCACCTATATACTACTACAAAAGAAAAGGGATGTCTATCATGTTTTATCTTAAGGCCCTTTACCCAACTACATAAAAGGGCTTCAAAAAAGTATAAATTTATTTCAGTGTAAAAAAATATTTTAAATCATGAATATTTTCATAATACACATTTTCTATGAACTTTTTAAAGATCCCTCATATTCCACTATATATTTATTCTCCCTTGAATACATGCTTATGACACACTAAAGGACTAAGAAATCCTACAATACATTGCTGCTTCAAGGATATTTAGAATATTTTACTCCTGGTGAAAAATTATCTTGATTTTCAACTGCTACCTTCATGAAAAAAAGGAAAAAAGTTCATGTGTAGAGTTCCTCAATAGCTATCCCTATTACAACACCTCCCTCTACTTCATTTCGCCTTTAAACTTATAGATACAAAACTTGGGGCCAGCAGATGGCATAATGGTTACATCGCTGGACTCCCACATAGCTGACCACAGTTCAAGTCCTGGACCCAGAGGATTGAAACTCATGCTGATGCATGTGTGTGCATGCCTCAAATCCTGAGAGGAGAATGGAGAAGAAGGGACTCTGGTGTGGTCATCCCCCTAAGGGGTGATTTCTTGCTTTCTGTCTCTCTGTTCCTCTCTGTCTCTACAGCAAGCTCACATGCCCTAAAACAAAAACCTCTCAAAAAAAAAAGATTTATTTGTCAGGCACATAATATATTCTCGGTGAGGATTATATTTCTTATTTTAAAGGACACAGTGGTATAGTCACTTTTCTTAGCTCTTAAGCCTCAATTTCCTCATGTGTAAAATGGGAAAAACACCCAGTGGATAGAATTGTAAAGGGAATTCAACTACCATATATGTATATGGCGTCAGGTATAGCTTCTGGAATAGATGACTGAGAAAACTTAGTTACCAAACCCCCCTTCAAATTGTAAGAAAAATACCTTAGCAGAGCACAGAAAGATAATTCACGATTCCTGCAATCCTACACATCTGCTGTTACCAGTAAAGTTACACTAGTCTGTATTTGTTCACTAATCACTTGCCAATTTTTAAATTCATTTTCAACCAAACTTCACTGGTTACAGTAATGTCCTCAGAAATTTCCCTGATACAAGCTTTAATTTTGTGGTATATTACTAAAATCTCATGTCACTTAAGAAGGGCTCCTATATAACTTGAAAATTAACATACTAGCCTGCTACTAGCATAGAAGACATTGATCAAAATAAACAATAAACTCTTTTAAGTCTAATTATAAAAATAATTACAAGACGGAATTCTTTAAAAATACTTACGAATAAAAAATGTTGAAGCCAGTTAAATTATATGCAGCATCACTAAAAAAATGTAACAAGGCATAGCCAGATGTTGTAACAACTTCGGGTACAGTTTCATTTCCCCTTATTTCTGGGACTATCAAACCACTAAAAGAGAAAAAAATTGAATACGCTGCATATTGATATACATATGACTACTAATCCCATAAAATTCACTCAAAAATATTCTTACTGGAATTGTCGAGCATGTGTATTAGAATGTGCAACTAGGAGAATAAGTCTAAAGTGAATTCCTATCTGTTTCTCACCCAATGAGCTCTATTTGTACAGCCAATACACTGATGTATTATTAACATACCAATTCTACCCTCATGCCACCATAATCACTTTTCTTTTTGTTGCTACTACCAATTATCACCATGTAGACTTAAATGCCCCTTTCTCCTGCAGTGTAATATAATCTGTCATAATACTACAAGTGGGCCTTTACTTAACTCATATATAAAAGTTCACTTTGGGGCTGACCACACTGCCTGGTTAACCCCTGCCTAGGGAGGGATTAAGAGAGTAAGATCCCACAAGCCTGGCAGCATAGTTTGAATCCTGGCCTGGAAGTTTTGAAAAACAAGTTGGGCACGTTGCATGTGTGCCCCAAATCCTGACAGGATTGAAAAATAGAGAAGAGACTGCAGCATGATCATGCCCCCATTGAGGTGTGCTCTCTCCCTTTCCCTCTCTTTTGGTCTTTCTGACTCTCTCTCTGGTAAGCACACATACCTCTGGCAAAATTTTAAAAAACAAAAAATTTCACTTTAAGCACACATTACTATTTTAACAAGTGACCCTATTATCTTTATTTTTTTCCCAATGGTTGAGAATTCCAATGAAGCTAGAAGAAACGCTTCACACCAATTAATTGATTACAATGACATTCTATAGTTAAAGTTGTACGTTTCCGACACCCTAATCTAAGTGTTTAGGTAATTTAAAAATATGCTTTTTGTTTTTCTTTAAATTCTGTATATTTATGCAAACTACATTAGAATATAACCATTCCAAAACAGAACATTGTTCACTTAAGTCCAGATGCACACGAAAGAAAATCATTTGGGGAAATGGAGAATAACATTTAAATATACAGAAGTAGGAATTCTAGATTAATAAGTTGTTCTTATTCTTTTTAAGCCTACTTGTTCCTGGGAGAAAATTACATATCTTCATTTAGTCAGACTATCCTGTCTTCTTTCAATGTGTAAAAACATGCAATAGGAGGGAAAAAAAGGCTTCTAACAAACTGATTATATAGCTCAAAATAGTCAGTTCCACTAGATAGTGCTAAATTTATATTTAGGTACCACTAGGAACTGAATTCTCTCATCTAAATCGTATTTGACAGACAAATGAAATATTGTAGTCAGATCATTTATTTGGCAAACAAACTCAAATACAAACAAATTAAAAAGTAATCAAGTAGATTTAATGCTTTAGTAATTATTATTACATCTACTGGGTGAGAGAATAAAAGATTTTAAAAGGAAACTGTCAATAGAATTCAAATTCTATAATACCAGTCTTAGTTACTCATACATATTTTTCATTATATAGTGAAATTAAATCAAAATGAGTTCATTGCTACACATTGTATTCCTCCATCCTTAGATACAGCTAGCCTCTGAGATTTCTCTGAAATAAATAAAAGGAAGAGGTGTTGCTTACTTCACAAAAGTGTTTTAAAAGGAATAAATGAAAGAGTTTCTACTTACTGAATGAAACACCAGAAATTCAGACCAATTAAAGTCAACTAGTTAGAAGACAAATGACATAAAAACAAGAATATCAGCCTGAAGGTACTAGAGAGCTAATCAGATAGTAACCCTGTTCACTGAGGTCATTTTCCCACGGGCATTTGCTAATTTCAAAGGCAGACATGAGATATGAAGGGCTCATAAACTGAATGGTAATTCCAAGGGTTTCACAGAGGTAGAGAAACCAAAAGTAGAACCCAGAGTCCTTACTGTGAACTAGGACCCCCAATAATTAGGAGTGAAAGTCAGGCCCTCCAACTGCACTAAGGTTAAGGTAGGAAACACTTCCATTCCTGGATTTGGATTGAGTTGACTGTGGATTGTTAATGTTCCCAAAGACTCTCTGTAGAAATCTATCTTCTGGGTTTCAAATTATACTGTAATTTTCCAAACACGGCATCTAGCACATAATTATCCAGCACAGAATGAAAATATAATACTTCTCTATTATAATCCATTCTCCACAGTCTAAAAGTCAGGCTTATAGAATAAAGGTCAATTTCTTTAGTGTGGTATACAAGGAAGCAATACTTCAGTGATTAAGGAATAAGATTCAGAACCGCATAACCTGGACTCATATTTGGACTCTATCACAAGTTAAACAACTCTGAGCCACTCAGAGAGAGGCTCTCTGTGCCTCAACTCCTCATTTGTAAAATAGCAATAATAATACCTAACCAAATGGGTATTGTGAGAATTAAATAAATTAATGCATATAAAGAATTCTTGCACAAAATGAGCACTTAGTAGCTATTACTAATTGCTATTTATCAGGTAATCTAGTGTCTATGTGTCCCTTCACGTTTCCTATAATCAAGTCACTCAAAACTACTTATTATTGTCCTAAAATATAATGCTCTTTAATGTTTACCTAGAATGTGCTATCTGGCCCCCACACTTTGCCTATCTTTCTTCTACTAATGATGAAACTCATCATGAAGAATCAGTTACTACTGAAGTTATATAGCACTCTTTCATAACCTCGTTACAGCATTTACTATTCTATTAAAAAAACTGTCTACATAACCCTCAGTAGTGCATGACTACTCTGTACTAAATAATTTGGCTGGTCTTTATTCTATTTCTTAGGAAGCAGCCTCTAAATCCTTAGAATTTATTAACTGATATGAGTGTCTTTGCGATTCATGGTGAACCCTGATAGTTTATGCCAATGAGGTAATTCATAGTGGGCCCCTAGATAATTCAAACTAACAAGATAATTCAGGTTGGGGGATAGCTACCCATACCAGAAAGGTCAACCATATGGCTAAAGGGCTGAAGTCATATGATATCAGTATGACTTCCAAAAAAAGGAGAGGGAGGGAGATTTGAATTCAAACCCATAGCCAACAGCACAGTCAAGCACACCTACATGACACAAACCTGAGAAAACTCTTGGCACCTTGAACCTAGAAATGACCCTCCCACTTGGTGAAATATACATGTGATGAGTGAGTAAACTGTCCTGAGGTCCCAGAAGTTTTGCATTTGTTATCCTCCCAGACCTCTATGCCTCTCTTTTTTGGACTGGTTCTGATTTATATCTTTTATAAAGAAATGATAATCAATCGGTCAACCAGTAGCATGGTGATTCAAGTGGCTAGATCCCACATTGCCAACTGTACAGTTCAAGTACTGAACTCAGTAGCTAAAAAAAAAAAAAAAAAAACAGCCACGTGTGCACGTGTGCTCAAAATCCCAAGAAGAGAACAGAGAAGAGATTTCTATGTGGCCATCTGCCCTTGTGGGTGATTTCTCACTTTTTTTTCTCTCTATCTCTCTGGCAAGCACATGTGCTATTTTCCTGTAGGAAAACTTTAAAAAGGAGAAAAAAGTATAGGATTTTCCTGAGTTCTGTGAATCACTCTAATGAATTATTAAATTTTCTCAAAGAGTAAGGACCTCCAAATTTGCACCCATATGGTCAGAAATACAAGCAGGGACCTCCAAATCTGTAGCTAGTGTCTGAAGCGAGGGCAGTCTTGTGTAAAACGATGCCCTTAACAACTGGAATAATTCATATTTATCAACACTTTTTTTTAATTGCCAGAGGGCATGTGCACTCACCACAGAGAGAGTGAGACACAGAGAAAGGGAAAGTAAGGAAGCACTTGCCAATGGGGCTTGGTCACACTGCAATCCACTCTCCTCTATTTCTCTATCCTACTGGGATTTGTGGCACGCACACACACATACACACCTAGTATGTTTTTTTTTCCTTTGGAGAGGTTTTTGCTATAGGGTGTGTGCACTCGCCAGAAAGATAGAGACAGAGAGATAGAAAGCGAGAAATCACGCCCCAGGAGGGCTGGTCACGCCGCAATCCTTTCTCCTCCATTCTCCTCTCAGGATCTTGGGCACGCACGCATACGCGCCCAGAGTGAGTTTAAGCCACCGTGTCCGGGACTCGAACCACAGTCGACTACATGGGAGTCCAGCAACATAGCCACTACGTCAACTGCTGGTCCCACACACCTAGTATGTTTTTGAGGCTGTCAGGTCCACGACTCAAACTGCAGGGTTGGTTGTCCATGTGGGATCTAATTCCCTTAACCACTAGATCATGGGCTGGCCTGAATAATTCAAACATATTTAGATTCTGAATTCTTAGCAAGGTGAAGTACTAACCGTACAGGCTTTTAAATTAGGAGACTGGTGTTCAAGTCCTAATCCAGGCTCTACCATCTATTAGAAGTAAATCATTTCTCCACACTGGGCGTGTGTGCGTACATGCCCAAAATCCTGAGAGGAGAATGTAGAAGAGATTGTGCTGTGGCCATCCTTTCTGGGGGACGATTTCTTGCTTTCTCTCTAATGCTCTCTCTCTCTCTGTCTCTCTGGCAAGTGCATGCACCCTATAGCAAAAATCTCTCTAAAAAAAAGTAAATAATTTCTCTGAGTCTTAATTTTCTCAAGTTTAAAATGGGGATAATAGTACTTCACTCACAAGATCTTCACAAAGATAAAATGTCATTTAAACTGCCTTGCACAGCACTTCCATCAAGTTTATATTCAATAAATGTGAGTTGTCCATCTCCTTCAAGATGGGTAACTAGAACACTGGGTAGTGAAAGGTCACAAATTTCATCAACATAGCCATAAACTAAAATCCATCCATCCTACTAATTATCTTAGAAAGGTTCCTTTGGTAACAGAAAAGGGTTGGTAAGAAAGTTAATGGATCCATGTTAATGTAAAGTCATTGAAACTACTGGAAAAACAAATGAGGGGTCACCAGGTACAAGGCAGTTAAAGTGCTGGGCTCCCACATGGCTGACTGCAGTTCAGGTCTCAGACCTGGTGGGTTGCTTTCTCATTATCCCTCTCTCTCTTTCTCTCTCACTCTCTATCTCTCTCTGGTGAGTGCATGTGCCCTACAGCAAATTGAAGAATAATGACGACAAATCAAATAAAATAAATAATTCTTTTAAAAGAGAAAAACAAATGAAAAGGCACACATCCTAATAGTGGTCAATCACCAAAGTCACAAAATAGAGGAATGATAGTAAAACGGTATGGACTGTATGAACCCAAGATCTCATCTAATGGTCAAGATGAGTATCTTATGACATAATTATTCATAAGAATTTACTCCATTTCTCTACTCCATGTTCTATCTGTTAGTCTTAGATATAGATTTCCTTGTAGCTATCCTTTTTGTAATGGTCAAACAACTCAAATATGAAGTTCTAAAAGCATTTAAACAATAGTTATATCACAGAGTAAGTGTCTAAGTACCTAAGGATTCATTTTGATGTAACCATTTGAAAATATAAGTCCTTGCATGTATGTTCAAAAAAAATAACAATTCACATTCCTGATATATAGATCATTTACAACATAAATATAAAAAGAAATATTGAGATAAAAACATTTGAGGGGTACAATATATTTTCATCTATACTCAAATTTTCAACAGAGAGACACTATGTAAATAACAAAACCAAAGAACAATATAGTAACTGGTCAACAATCACGTTAGTTAAACTGCATACAAAATCTACACTACATGTTCATAATTCTTTCTATATCCAATATATGTTCTCCTATGCATAAACTTTTATATAACAATGTGTACATAAATACATATAAAAGATTTTTAAACTGATACATTAAATGCTGTAATTTCAAAATTATTAGTCAATTTAACTAGTGGCAATAAAATATTTTGAAACAACCAAAATTATCACATTGTAAGAATTGATAGAGGAGGGGCCGGCAAGTGGCATGGTGGTTAAAGGCATTAGACTCCCACATGGCCAACCACGGTTCAAGTCTCGGACCTGGTGGCTTGCTTTCTCACTTCCTTCCTCCCTGTCTCTCTGTCTGTCTCTCCCAGGCCAAGTTAAAAAAATAATAATAATAAGATAATAATAAAGTTAAATAAAAGAATTTTTTAAAAAAGAATTGATAGAGGAATCAGCAGATGGTGTAATGGTTATATCACTGGACTCCCACATAGTCGACTATGGTTCGAGACCTGGACATAGGCACTTAAAACTCACACTAAGTTTGTGGGTGTGTGTGACCAAGATCCCAAGAGGAAAATGGAGGAGAAGGGATTGCAGCATGGCCATCCCCCCGGGGGATGATTTCTCGCTTTCTGTCTCTCTTTTTCTCTCTCTCTGACAAGTGCACATGCCCTATAGCAAAAATCTAAGAAAGAAAAATGTATTGATAGAAACACCTTCTTTATTAAACCATTATACAAAGCATAACTTACTCCTTTTCTGCAGAATTTTTAATATCATCATTTCAATAAAATAGACAACCATTGATACCGATACATATATCAGCTAGAAGTTACCCTAATCTATCCAAATACAGAGTTTTGAAAATATATTCAAACTGCTATAAAAGAAAAAACTGATTAAAGTGAGAATTAAGAATGTTTATAAAGAAATCAATTTTTTTTGTATAGTACAGTACTTATTTATCTCTGCTATGTTAATATTTGCATTATCATATTGGGTCATCTGAAAAGTCATGATGCATTTTTACATAGAAAAGTATGTCATGACTTTTCGTATGACCTAATATATACACATAAGTTGAAAATCACAGTACACAACACACTATTATGCTCTTCTTTGACATGTAACCATCAATATCTGTACTAAGTTTATTTTGGAATACAAATATATATTTAAATTTAAGAAATCATGCATATTTTTCTATAGATGACTATAAATTCATCAGTTAAACATAAGTACTCACCTAAGCACAGCTATTAAAGGTGCATATATAGAATCTCCATCATAAACATACATATGATCCCAGCTACATTCTGTAGCAAAATGATTGAATCTTAATCTTAAGACTGCATTTGGACTGAAAATAATATTAAAATATTTGTAATTAATATATAGTATACAAATCAGTCTGAAGAAAATTTAAGAGTACTTTATTAAAACTCTAGTTAAAGATAATTTTGCTATAAATCCTTGAATCACCAGATTAAAAGATTAATAAACCACTATAAATAATTTGTATGTTCTTTTCTAAGAATTTAGTCAACAAGAAATGTTCTATGTCTTTTTTTCTCGTTTCACTTTTTTATTGGCACATAACAACTATGTATTAGCAGATAGAGTATTATGACTTTTCAATGAAGAATATAATGTGTTTTGATCAAATCCAGGAAACAAACATTGTCCATGCTGGCACTGATCTTATGATCCTCCTACTTTGAGTAGCTGTAAGTTAGACAAAGGTAGAGATTACATAGATTACATACATTAATAAAAACCTTATTGAATTTTTATTAAAATGGGTGCGTTTTATTGTACGTAAGTTGATTTTTAAAATTCAACATTCATGGGCCCAGCCATGGTGGTGCACATGGGGAAAATACTATTGCTCCATAACCTGAAGCCATATGGGAGGCCTGGGTTCTATTCTTGGCCTATCCTAAAACAAAACTGAGTACAGTGGCATATGGCTATAGTCCCAGCTACTCAGGAGGTAAAGCAGAAGGCTCAAGTCAGTGTAAGGCCCTGTCCTCAAAATAATAATAAATAACTTTAAAAGTAAATACATAAATTCAATATGCACGAAGCAATTACCTTCATTTCTTCAGAGCCCTTAAGTGGAGGCACTAATATGTTCTTCTAAATTTAATCAAAAGGTCTCATTAACAAACTCACTGAGACTATAGGTATGCAGCAGAGAATTAATACCTTTTAAGTTTTAAAAATACCTTTAAAATAACAACCAAAAAAACCACAGCCTAAAAATAATTCATATAAACTTACTTATGGTCCACTCAAAATATGCTTAAATAGATAAAATTCCGTTTGAAGCACTAATTACTAAAAAAAAAACCTATAAATGGATAATTCACTTTCTCTTCAACAAATTGTTCTTTTTAAAAATTAACTACAGAAATAATTAAGACTATTTCTAAAGAAATCTGTATTTCTGGTATAGTATAGTACTTATTTATCTCTGCTATATGTATATTATTGTACATACACATAAATTGACAGTCTTTAAAACTAAAATGCTAAATAGTATGAATCAATGGTATATCCAGCATAGAATAGTTGTATACTTCCTACAGTATTTTCTTCAAATTCCATAACAATATGCCTTTAGCCAAAAAAAATGCCGATTCATTACCAAAGTAAAACAACTCAAAAATAAAACACATATAAAAATTAAACTATAATCAAAACTGAAGGAATACTGTAATTACATTAAGTGTGATAACCATAATGTTTTAAGTCCCATGAAAAATGGGACTTCAAAAAGTCTATAGAAAAAATGGAATTAAAGTAAGAGGTTACATTGGTGCAAAAAAAATTAAATCCGGGACCAGCAGTTAGCGTAATGGCTATGTCGCTGGACTCCCACGTAATCGACCACGGTTCACGTCCCGGACCTGGTGGCTTAAAACTCACACCAGGCGCATGTGCGTGTGTGCCCAAGATCCCGAGAAGAGTCTGGAGGAGAAGGGATTGCAGCGTGGCCATCCCCCCCGGGGGGTGATTTCTCGCTTTCTGTCTCTCTGTCTCTCTCTGTCTGTCTGGCGAGCGCACGTGCCCTATAGCAAAAACCGCTCCAAAAAAAAAAAAAAAATTAAATCCATGCACACTTCTTCCATAATGTACATTTCTACAAATCTTTTGAAAACCACTCATGTTGTGAATAATATTTTTCAATAATAAACAATAAAATATATAGTCATTATACTTTAATGCTTTAACATTAATACGATCACCTTTATCATTTCAGAATAAAATAAATTAATTCAACCTAAATTGTATACTTACTAGCCTTCAATTAGCCATGTACATTTAGTTTTATACTTATAGTTAATTGGACCATCTGTTAAATATCCAGAAGGTTCTGTTAACCTAGAAGAGAAAATAAAATCATGAAAATAATTACCTCAAAATAACTTTAAAATACAGTCATATAAGAAAATTAGAGCGGGGCCAGCTCTGTAGCACAGAGGTTAGCACTGTGCAGAGGAAGCTGGATGCCACATGGCCATCTGGGGTTAAATTCTGAGCCAGGTGGCAACACACCAAGCACATGCCCAGGATCCTAATGGAATAGAGGATTGGAGGAAGGACTGCAGAGTAACCAGGGCCAAGGGGAGAGGAGGATTCTTACTGTCTGTCTGTCTCCCTCTTTCTCTCCCTCCCTAGTACACAGGCATGCACTCCATCATAAAGAGAAAAAAATTTAAGTCATTAAGCCCAATGAATGGGACATAGCAATTTCCTAAAAGGAAGATTTATTCACAACTTAGAATTTTTCAAATTGCCATAACTGTCTCTAAATCACAAAAGAAATATATTTTAGATTTCTTTAAACCTTGATATAGCATGACCATTTCAATTTACAGAGTGGAAAAGGTCATGAAAGACTAAACACTGGACTGATAAGTTCAATGCTGCTATGAAACAGATTAAGTTAACTTCATCTGCACAAAAATTGGGCTAAGGCAAAAGAAGGCTCAAATACACTTAGAAACAAGCAGATCTATGGAACAGAGAAGAGCATATGTATATCCCACTTTGGGGAGTATATCGTTTCTAGACAGCACCAGATTTTACAGAGTTCTGCTATTTTCCGTATCATTTTCTCTTCACTACTTCAAAGTTAGTCCAAGAACTCAGTCAATTTTAAAAATAGGGAAATTAAAAGGCTTGAACCTTCTATTTTACATATAAAAACAAATTATAAAAACCTCAGATATTTGAAATTCAAAAATAACTTAAACAAGATCTCAATTCTATTTTAGTTTTCCTTACTTCCAACCCAATTATTGTATTTATCAACATAAGACCATATTTTAAATAATGAAAATATATTTCCACTTAGCATTTATCTATTTATACATGTATACAAACACAACACATATTACAGCAAATTGGTATTTATGTATTCACATAAACATACACACATACAGATATCAGGAGCATTATCTAATTTTGGGTAACATTAAATTTTTCTTACATTAAAGAGCCTTAAACATATTAGAGGGGAAAAAAAGGTTTCATTTACCTAAATAAGTGCTGACAGAAAAGCCAGTCAATTTTACTGTTATTTGTAAGTCTTTTATAATCCCTGAAAATTACTTTGGGTAATAAGGGAGCTAATTTATGCTTAGAAAAAAATTCTGAAAACAGACAAATTCTTGTGATCTCAAATTAATATAATAATAAATTGAGCATTTTCCAGATGTCAGGTATTACTGCAAGAATAGAAAGTATTACCTTATCTAAAATTCAAAAGCCCTATAAGAGGAGCCAGCAGGTGGCACAGTGGAAAAGCTGCTGAACTCCCATGTAGCTAACCATGGTTCGAGTCCTAGACCCCATGCTTGAAAATCACACTGGGCACCTGTGCATGCATGACCAAAATCACAAGAGGAGAATGGAGGAGAAGGGATTGCAACATGGCCATCACCCTCTCTCCCCACCAGGGAGCGATTTCTCACTTTCTCTCTTTCTCTCTCTCTCTCTCTCTCTCTCAAGCGTATACACCCTATGGAAAATAATAATAATAATAATAATAAAGACATATAACAGAAAAACCTATGAGATAGTGAGTAATTAGTAATCCCATATCGCAGATGACAAAACTGAAGCACAGTTTTAATAACAGGATAAATAACTTACCCTGACTTTTCATCTCCAATAATACTAGATGAGGTAATTCAGACAACTAACTACTCCACTGAAGACAATTAAAAAAACTAAAAAAATAGGGACCAGCAGATGGAGAAATGGTTACACTGCTAGACTCCCACATAACTGACCCCAGTTCAAGTACTGGACTCAACAGCTTAAACTCACACCGGGCATGTGTGCATGTGTGCCTAAGAGCCCAAGAGGAGAACGGAAGAGAAGACATTGCAGGGTGGCCACCCTACCCCTCCCCCAGGGGGGGTGATTTTTCGCTTTCTATCTCTCTGGAGAATACACAAGTCCTACAGCAAAAATGTCTCTTAAAAAAATGGAAAAGTAATTTTACAATCTTAAATGTGTCTTGTAAATAACAAAATGATAAAATCTACCCAGCCAAGATCCAGAAGTTGAAAATTATTTAGGAAAAAGTAGGCATTCACAGCTGTTTTTGCTCTGGAGAGATTTGCTTACTTAGAAGATATTGCCAAGAGGCTGACAGTGCATTTGGCAACCTCAAGAAGTCAGGGAACAAAAGTTGGAGGCAATGGCTCACAAAGGTAAGACATCAAATAAACAGCCTGGCACTTGACTAAGAAGCAAAGTCCTGCTATTAAGGTCAGGGTGTACCAGAAGTAAACTAGCCCTTACCTGGACTATTCCCTAGCCCAGGTGACTGCCAATATGCTAAAGATCTTAATCAAAGATGTAATTCTCTCTAAAGAAAGATAACATTATCCTAAACTTCAAATTATTCCAGCCAATAATTTTTCAGATAACATGTCTAGCATTATCAAAGGTAATTAGGTATATAAAAATACAAGACAACAAAATAAGTAGTAATAGAAAATAGTAACAGACTCCAAGATATTCTAATTATTGATATTATCACATGTAACCTGTAAAACGAATATGCTTACTAAGTACAAAAAGACAAAACTTTTATAGTTCATCAAAAAACATAAAAAAAAGTGAAAAAATAATGCAAATTCTAGTACTAAAAACTACAATAATCAAAATTAAGAATTCAACAGACAGGCTTAAAGACACATCAAATACAATTAGAAACAGGATGAGAAATCTATTAGTAGAAGATAGGTCCTTGCAAAGCAGCGCTGTTGAGGAATCAGCCCTTTACATTTGTGTCAACTTACTCAATCACGTAAAACTCTAAGCAGCTGAGATTCTAATTGGGGGCAGGGGAGCATATGGAATATGTTATAGAAGAGCAAAACCATAAATATCTATTATGATCTTATAAGTAATTACACAATCAAGGATGATAATACCTTTGCATAGTTTCAATTTCCTCATTTTTATTTTATATATAAATTGCTAAAATTAACTTTACACTCTAGTCTTTAGATAAGAGAATATTTAGTGTGACTGTGACTAATTATGAGTAATTAATAGAACATGATGGATATGATGACTTTTTTTTAATTTTTACCTGTAGTTATTATGATATTCTGTCATTTTTGGTCTTTTCAATGCTTAAAAGTAGTATAAGTCAACCTACAATGAAGCTAATATTTATAAAATACAGAGAAGGATTTTTTGCATCTGTCCAAAATATCAGCAAACTTGTAACACACCAAAAGTAAAGCATTAAGATTTAACTTAAAAATTAAAATTTCACAAGATGTTCATAAAGCTCTAAAATAGGTGACTTTAACCAAACAGCATAAAGCTTGTGCTTTCTCTAATTTCCAAGCAGCCAACATTTTCATACTCCCAATTTCTTAAGAGTTTGGGCCAAAGAACTTTACTTCTTCGGGATTTCTTACTTTCTATCCCTAGATTCAGTGCCATACCAAACACAGTGCGAACATCTATTTAAGAAAATTAAAATGCCATCTCATAGAAAGCTATTTATGTTGGGAATAAAACATAAAACTGTACTACTAAATAAAAAGGAAAATCTCAGATTTTCCGACAGGCTCTGCAGAAGAGAGGAATGGACAATTTCTACAGGCCTCAGCTAGAGGGGAGCTGATTAAGGGGAATCACAGCACTGGAAGTCTGACAGTATCATGCCTTGTGTAAGGCTTTTTGTAAATCACTGTAGAAGCTGGATGAAGTGCTCGCCATGGCTGCGTCTACTGCAGACTGAGGAATCATTCCACATAGGTCTGTCTGAATATAGCCGGTCAAAGGATCTGGCTTGGATGGTCTTTAAGTGGAACACCAAACCAACCACATGGATGGTTATACCCACAGACAAATTCTGTTCTCTTTTCACTCCAGTCAAGACTTATCCCACAGGATAAAAGCCCTTCTTCATAGCCCACGGTGTAGGAGAAATCAACAAACTCTCTCGGAAAAATTATATTCCAAAACTGACCAGCGGTAGTGTAACGCATCACACAGCAGTTCTCTTCCAAGTGCTCCAAAATATCCAATGAAGTTACCAAGTTGTCCCAATACAAGCAACAGGGTCCTGGGCATATATGGTCTATTAGACTACTGACAATGTCATCTATAACACCTTGAGCTTTATAGAGATACCCATTAAATTCTTCTGAGGGTTTTCTCCAAACTGTTAGATCTTTCGTTTTTGTCAGAGTTCACAGAAGAGTGCAGGAGAATAGGGTTTTGCTTCCTTGTTCGAGCGTGCTCAATAAGATCCTGTGCCATCTGTGGCCTCTGTGGTACTATATTCCTACAGTATGTGCTGTCCAGCAGCACCCAGCCACCAACAGCTTCCCCAGCACTTCTCCTTAGGCAGTTCTGTAGTAGAATGCCTAAGCTACCTCCCCATGAACACTTTTCTCCAACCTTCTATAAGGTAGTTTTATGGCAAGTTCTACCTGTAAAAAGCCCTAAGGCAGCTCTTCTGCTATTCAAGCCACAAACATGCCCTCCCGCAAAATCTGGATCTCAGGCCAGGAAATGGAAGCAGTTCTTACCTAGATATGCTATCTCAGCACCAGGAGTAGTAATGGCTACTTTGTCGATCTACTCTTTCTATATTCTTCAGAGTTCTCTTTATTTCTTACTGCCTTATGGGAAGAAAAGCTAAAAAGACAGATTATTTAGAGAATTGGGGCACTGAAAAGCTATTGCTTGCCTATATGCCCTTTCAAAGGGAAATTTAGGAAACTGCATGCACACTCCTGGCAGACTGTGAACACAGAAAAGATGAGGATGCTAAGCTTTTACACCAGACTAATCTTGAGGCCAGGGGCTAGCAGGAAGTGAAGGCTAAGACAGAGCTA